TTTTTTAGGGGGGACGTGGTGATGTATTTTGGGGGGGCAGGTCTTTGCTCACGCAGGGGTCATGGCTGGGAGCCATGTGATTTATCTCCAAGGATGGTGGGGAAGGAATGGGCGTGGTTACAGACTGAGCAGATGCTGAAAAGATGGAAAGGAGGCTGGGAAGGGAGCCTCACGGGGCGGGGGGTTGCCTAGGGAGCTAGAAGTGGTATCAGCGTCTGGGGAGTCCTGTTCCCCAAAGGACCAGGGAGTCCTCCCTTCACAAAAGCATTGGGCCTGGCTGCGAGGTGGGCAGCCAACCCGCTGAACCACATGGTTGAACTGACGCTGACTCTTCATCTCCAGAGTTTGGATTTGGGAACAGCTGCCTGTGACCATACTCTGCTGTTGCAGAAGGGAGGTTTGTTTCTCACGGGGAAGGCCCATTTCACGGATGTGCAAACGCAGGCCCAGGACAGCCCTGCAAGGAGTCGAGGCCTGGTGGGATGCTTAGGGAGCACTCGCTCTTCCCCCAGACCTTGCACAGAGAACCTCAGGACTGTGCAGAGTGCTAATGAGAGGGTGATGGGGTCCTCCCCCACCTGACTCTGAAGCTGTCACAGGAGGTTGATGCCAGGTTTTAAAGTTGTGAAGCATGTTGTAAAGTGAGAGCGGGGATCAGAGGCCTGCTCCCCTTTGTGTCCCTCGTAGTTTGTAATGCGAAGATTTGCACTTAGCTTTGTCAACTGTTGGTTAAATATAAGTGACTAGGAGTCACTGCCTTTGTCACCAGGCCCACCTGGCCTGGTGACAGATGCCTTTATTGGGCTTGTTCGTGTTCAGAATCTCCCAAGACTGCTCCCTGGAGAACTCTGGGGATGGCCGACGCATCATCTACATGTCTGTGTGCGTTTCCTACATATTTAATGCATATCCTGTCCCAGGCCTCCCTGGTGGGCTGGTAGGGGTGAGGCTTCCCAGCAGCCTGACAGCCCTAAAGATTGTGGGTGTATCTGCACACCCTCACGGTCTGCACACTTACCTTAGAGAGTTTCCAGAGGCACATTCATTGAGCCCCTTCTTGTCCCCTTGTCATTAACCTGGTGCCCTGGGTCAGAGAATTGAGGCCGGACGGAGCCCTAAGAGAGTGTAGGGGCAGCCACCAGCCCCCGTGGGCCAGCCGTTAGAGGACCAGGGCCTCCTGCGGCTGTCCTGAGAGGTCCCAGCCTCTGGGCAGGCAGTCTCCACTTGAGAGGATTGTCTCAGAGGGACGGCTGTCCTCTCCCTGTCTTGTGCTCTGATTCAGTGGCTGCTCCCGGGAACCCCCTGCTGGGTCTAGAGGGAGAAAGTTCTGTGAAGAGCGCTTTCTTTGGGCTTGTGTGGCTGCCGCTCTGTGGGCCCAGCCCCTGTCCCCCTTTGTGGGTGTGTGGACCACGTTGCCAGTGACCCTGCTGGGTGTCATCAGACTTGGCAGAATCGTCCCAGGCTGATCAGGGAAAAGACCCCTGGGTGCTTCCTCCTCCTGGGAGGGGAGGGGATTGTGCATCTGAGGGAATTGGCTGCAGTAGCCAGACTCCAGGCCTAATTAGGCCACTTGGTAAAGTGGGAATTCCCGAGGCGGGGGCGGGGGGGGGGGC